AAAGATTAATTTCAGACCTTGATACAAACTCAGTCTTCACATAAACATACCTTTTTCTTTTGACTTCCTGTCTTGTTCTCTCTCTCTGCTTTTGCTTCTGTGCTTGTAGGATTTCCGATCCCGGCTTTTTGATCGTCTCCTGTCCCTGCTGCGAGACCTATGTTTTCTTTCTGATCTATCATGACTTCTGCTTCTTCTTCGGTCACGACTCCTTAAAATTCAGAGAAAATTTTAAAAATGTAAGTGTCAGCTGGTATTTTCTAACTCAGAAGATAAACAGTACAACAGTAGCACTTTCAACGCATTGATTATTTGCAGAAAACTAATATTTAAAACAAGCCTTAGCATACTGTATATAAATATTTCTCAGTACATAAGACCTGGCTTCATACTGCCTTCTTCACCTACACAAACATTCAACCACACAGCTTAAAAATACCCACTACTATGAATTAAACACCAGCTTAAAGAAACAACAAAACAAGACCCCGTTCTTTGGGAGCATTAGTCTACTCAAAGCTCCCTCATAAGACCACTTCCACCACACTGGTTTCACCTACTTCCAGAAATGGAGAGAAGACAGTAAGCATGCAGCAAAACTTGCTTATCCTTAGAATCAGTAAAGTATGTCTTCACCTTGAGATGAGAACACTGCAGCTAACAAATCAGCGACGTGACCAAGGCTGACAGATCAAGTCCCCATAAGATTTTAACATTTTGGAAAGTTACATGAAAATACCTACACACACACACACACAAACATACCTGCTTCGCCTTCTTTCCCTGCTTCTTGATCTTTTGTGGTCTCGTGAACGGCTGCATCTTCTGTCAGATGTTCTGCTTGAGTGTCTACTCCGTGAACGACTCCTTTTACGTCTCTCTCTGTCACGAGCCCTCTCTTTTTCCTTTTCTTCTTCCTCACGTCGTCTCTTCCTTTCCCGCTCTTCTCTTTCCCGTTCCCTCTCTTTCTCTCTCTCTTCTCTTTCTTGTTTCTCTTTTTTTAACCTGTCATCACGGTCAGGTTCTTCTGTTCTTTTTCGTAACTTTTCCTTTAAAAAAATTTCACAGAAAGAAATAAAGATTACTCAAGATAAATCATTCAATATAACTCAGTTTATACATTCTGAGGATATAGAAGCTTAAAGCTTTTAAAACATTTCAGTGTTTTTTCCCAAATAAAGGACAGCCTGCACAGAATTAGTTTCTAAAATCTCTGAAAAGGAAATCCTTTGTGTTGCAGCACTTTTTTGCTTGTCATTTTCATAAGAACAGAGGCCACACTACAGTTCTTTACAAAGGTCACAGAAAATTCCCACTTGAATTTACATCTTTGCTTATATCTAGTGTAATCACACACGACAAAGTACGTCAGTGCAAGGACAATGCTAAATGTGCAGTGGGATTCCATTTAATTTTTTATACACTGTCTTTGGAGTATTTCACCCACTTGAGCAAGTGCACCAGACAGCCTTTTGTTTACCATAGGAAGCCTCCAAGCAATTTTTTTATGTTCAGTAACTGAAGAGATGCTTACTTTTAAATCTTCTACAGTAGCTTTTATTTTGGCATAACCCATGTGTTGCTTTCCCATCAAGTGGTCATCTACCCTGGACTGTGCATCTCCTACAATTAAAAAGGCTCCACAAACTTCACAAACTTCCATTTGCTTTTCTTGGGCAGCAAAGCTCTCAATTGTCTGCAAAAAGAAAAGTATACAATAAAGTAGAAGAAAAGTTTTAGCCAGAAGCCAGTGAAGAGGTTTAGAACTTTATTGTTACTGTTGTCAAATGCTAGACGCTCATGAAAGCTGAAAAGCATAACTGCATGCTTTGTCTTCAGAGCACTGCACCTACTAGGATGAACAGGGCAAAAATAGGCTACATATGCCCATTCCACATAAGCCACAAGGAGTCAATTAGGAAACACACAAAACACACCTTATTCCTCACTGCTCTGCAAGCTTCCTTGCAATCTCTGTATTAAGGAAAATAAAAATCAGTTTTCTCTTAAGATGATTTATTTGGTACCAACTGAAATGTCTGGAGCTGCAGAATAACCATGGAATATGTCTCAAGGAATGAAAAGGAAGAATATCCCATGAAGAAATACAAAAAGGAACACTGGACTTCTGTTTAAAAGGATGGTGGTGAAATTAACTCACTGTTTCAACAGACATACAGAAATATGCTGGAATTTCAACATAAACCCAAGTCATTATTGCTGCGCAATGCGCGTAGTATGGACACAAACACTACTACCTGCAACACTGAAGAACTTTAAAAAAAGAAAACAAGATTCATAATTTAAGCATATTATTAAACACCAAAATATAATGCTTAAACACAAGCTCCTTTTTGTTGACAGGAACTTGCTACTTAACATATTACCTTTGGCTTCTGTAGCTCTCAAAGCCTGACAGATGCTGTCTCTAGTCACAGCCCTAACACAAGGGCTTTCTGTAACACAGTCGGATTGGCAATTCAGTGAGGTAATACTGCAGAAGCTACACGTTGAAGTGTAACTGAGGCATGACCTAGAGTAAGATGCAAGCTCACCTCCAAGACTGCTGTGTAAATAATTCCATAATTTGTGTGCATGAAACCCACTCTCAAGGTAGCATGTTAAATCAGCACACTGGATTAACAGATTCAAATGTCATGCTATTGTCTACTAAATTCTGCACGGAACTTTCAGGCCTTCACTGTAAGGACACGGTTATTAATAACGTTCTGTTGCACCAGATTTGGAAGTAAGTCTGAAAGAATTACAAACACATTACTTACTGAAGTTGTTGATCTCAGCAATTCTCTCTCTTCCTTTAACTGTTCAACAAGTTTCATCATTCCTTGTGCCTCTTCCACCTTCCCTTCTGAACCGAGTTCTTCAATCTAAAGGACGATAAAAACATCAACTATAATTTTTAATCAAGTAACAAAAGCAAGAGATGTCTCTTACAAGGGGTAAAGAAACCTCACCTGTTGTAGAAGTACATCAATTTTGTCAGTTAACACCTGAATCTTCTCTTCATTTTTACCGGTAGGTCCCGCTCCCTGCCAAACAGTACAAGTAGGGGTTTTGTTGTTGTTTTGGTTTTGTTTTAGATAAAGTAACTTTAAAACACATTAATGTATGTCTTCCCATACTCCAGAGACACTTCAGGAATAACCTCCTCCTGTCTCTTCTCCCATGAGAGCCCACTAATAGTCTAGTCTACAGAAAACACTCCTCAACACAGCTTACTCCACTCTTGCTGAGTAAAGCAAGTTCTAGTCACACCAACTTCTCCTAAATCAACAAAAACATTCAAGGCCCTGGGCCATAAAAGGCAAGACATCTGAATTCAAAGTCCTAAATTTAAACTCTAAATAGCCACGCAGTTATTACATATCTTTGCAGACACTCAAGTATGACTTGGAAGTTTCGTGGGCTCTGAAATTTAGCTTCTGAGCATAAATGCAAAAAGGATCTCACTGCATCCAAAACATACTTGTTAGTAGTGCCCTCTCTGCAGGCTGCTGGAATAGACTTACATCTGCTTCCCCCACAACCTTTGCTCTACTCCACAGCCAGTAAGCTCTCTTGACTGGATACTGTCCACAGCTCCTTCTGAAGCAACTGGACTTTGCACAGAACAATTAATTGGGGCAAAATAAAGCCCTAGCAGGCACGAAACTCTTAGAGCACAGGCCACAGTCATTGCTCCAAATTCATCAGGAGACAAGAAGAAACAAGTGGAGTAAACATGTTAAGTTTTCATTAACAGCTGTCTAGTATGCAGCTTGGAACCAAGAAAAGTTGCAGAGTATTTCTTTCTTAAAATTCCGTGATTCCATCACTGCCTGCCAATGGTGGTGCTGGAAAAGAAAGAGGTTATGGCCTAAGTGTAGCATCTGACAGGGGGATTTAGCTCCATCAGCTGCTGAAAGACTCCGTCCTTGCCTACTTCAGTAATATCACCCTGATACAGCTTCCCAGGGGAGGGAAGGAGGGATGTGCAACTAAGGGAGAGAAGGTAAACTGAGGTTAACAGGGAAAAGACAACACTAGACAGGATTAACGTTCCAGGGCAGAGAAAAAATACTGATGCTGAGGAAACACAGGGAGAACAAACAGGGACTCTTGCTAACGACGGAGCCACTTGGCTTGTCTGTTAGGGTTAGATGCAATCTGCTGGCTAACAGATTAAGAGACTTATCTAATGACAATCTTCTGGAAAACAATATATTTTACTAAAAGAGAAAAGGTAAAGACAACATGAAGATGTTATCTAGAAGAAAAATGTCTCAATGATTCTTCGAGACTCACCCCAGAAGACTGTTGATTCTGTGACAGCGCCAAACGAGCATGTCCTCTTCGAATCCTGCGCTCTACCTCTGCCAGCAAGCTTTGCAAATAGCGTAAGAAGTCTCTCTCATAGCCCACTTTCATAAAACGAGAGCTCTTCTCATACCTGGTGAAATATTTTAAAAATTAAAGCTCACATCACTCCACAAGATATGAAAAATATAACACCTGCAATGGTATAAATTCTTGCTCAAGGTAAGAGAATATTGTACATTTAAATAAACGTTTACATAAATCAAAAAGCATTTAGTTTCTCATGGCTGGGTTGTTTTTAAAAAAATTCAAGCATACTACAAACACTATTTGCATTAACATATCAACCAACATACTTACTGTTTACGTAGATTTTCATCATGGATTTTTTCACAAGGCCCTAAAAAGACCACACAAAAAGTTTAAGTTTGCATTATTGAACGCTGTATTCACACTCCATCAGCTTTTGTTTGTGCATCCTGATAGAACAGAGCTATAAACACTTCCCAGAGACTTTTACGCCAGCCTTTCTGCTTCCTTTGCTTGGAGTTTGAAAGGTACATTAAAGAAAGAATGCCAGTATGGTTTAGTAATTATAAAACCAAAGATTCTGAATGACACATAAAACAGAATTTCCAGATCAAGTTTTACATTGGTAAAACTACACAAAGTAATACCATAAACATTTGGGGTCTTTAAAAAAAAAAAAAAAAGTTAAAAAAAAAAAAAGTAAAAATGACATGTAAAGGGTAATTTCACCAAGCACTTTCTAAGCTCCAGACAGTGTTCTTTGTAATAAAAAACTGGCTAGTTAAAACGTTGACCTTCAGAGTAAAATTAGGAGGTATGTGCCCTGAGTTCATGAAGGCAGTCATGACAAATTCCCTACCTTCCCCAGCCTATCCTCTTCAATGGACTTGGAAATTAACACTAAGAAAAGAAGCCTGTTTTACCTAATTACTATTTCCAAACTACATGTTGTCCGTACACACCATTGTTTGAAAGCTACTATTAATGTAGAGATGACTTTCAGGAGTAACTATTACAGTAAATGAGTCTCTAAAGTAAAGAAGCTCAAAAACGTATACTCACACAAAAGTAAGTTAAAACCCTGTCCAGGTAGATTAAACCAAACTAGAAGCCAAAGCTTCAGGAGGAGAAAACCACTCCACATGCAATAATTTAGCTTATATTGTAAGAAAAAATAAAATAAAATTAAAACCTCCCCTTTTTTCACTTAGAGGAAGTAGGATCTGGAATAAATATTGCTCTTAACATACTGCATCACTGGCAATTCTTAAAATAAATAAATAAAAAAGCTTATTTTCAGTGTTTTGACAAAGCATGAAACAATAAAAATGTAGTTTGCATACAGAAGTTCAATGGTAATTATATATAAGTGAATACAAATGACAAGACTTACAGACTTACCTAAATCAGAACGGGTATTTGTAAATAATTCAGCTGGGCAAAAGCCACAGAGGTAGTATTTACAAACCTAACAGAGAAGAAGAAAGAAAACAGGCATCATTTTTTTCCTCATGAGTCAGCAATTTTAGGTAATTGCTTCTATTTTCTAAAATACAGTGTAAAAATCCTCCTTGTGCACTGCATAATTTCTGAAAATTTTATACACCCTCTAGCTTTGTGTCACTTAGCAGTAAATGCTACAAAGTGCATCTTACGACAAAACACCAAATATCTTACTTTTTATTGCAGTAATGGTATTTCTTAATTTTACTCCTAAATATTTAAGATTACAGGAAAGGGTCACCTATCTGTAAATTATTATAGAGTATTTGATATTTCCAAAGGAATTCAATCAGACTGGACTATTAAAAGAGTTACTGTGAAATGCCTAAACTGTGAAAACCTACAAGAGGTGAGAATCATGAAAGCAAGTTCCTCTTGGCTTGTCTACAACGACTCTGTGTTCAGCCTCCATTTCTTCAATGCTCCTGGCTTGGAGAACAGGAGCCATCAGCACTCAAAGATAAGGTACTGCCTCAAGGATTCTGCCTTCAATTAAAAGACTTAGAGAATGCACATGATAACTACCCAAAAGCTTCCCCATTCCAATGATTTTAAAAATCCCCACTTTAAGAACAATATGCAAAAAGACACTGTATAGCTCTTAAGGCAGACAGAGAAGACATTCATTGCAACCTCATTTCCTGTCAACTAAAAAAGGGTTTGTTTTGTTTCTACATCGCTTATTTTTACGCTAGCAAGTCAGGTTCTTTTTGATAACAGAAAAATACCACCAGGAAGTTAGGAAAAAACCCAATCTGTTTGTCTAGCCAGTAAATACTTAACATATGATGGGATAAAACCAGCTTTTGTAAAAAAGATTATTCAACCTCACCCATGAGCATGGGCTTAGCTAGTCAAGTTGGTCAGTTCTTCAAGGTCATACACAGCAATATCTCCTGCCTATCCATCAGAACAGCCAAAAAGATAAAATCAGGAATACTTCCACCCCTAACTTCATAATTCTTCAATAGACTCTTCCCCTGGACATGATTGCCATTAACTAACTTAAGTGTCAATCCAAAACTAGCCTGGACATTCTTTTAACATCTCTTTTATGTTACGCCAGTTTCTGGTATTAAGAAGATCTAGTAATTGCTAATGCATATTACAGCCTAGTTCTAAAACTCTCACAGGAACTATGGACAAAGATTTGCAACATATTTCCTACAATATATTTAAGTATTTTAACAAATGAAGGTGAGGAGAGATGTTGGCGCTTTAAGAGCTAAAGCTGCAAGTAGCTTTGGCCTTCTCTTGACTTTGGGTGAAAA